ATTATTTTTATTTTCATAATTAAAATATATTGATTAGAAGTGGAGTCATTTTATTTGTCAGGCTTTTACCGGTTACAACATGTATACTAAATTAGTATATTAAATTTATGATAATTTAAAAAAGGGAGAGCGAAAAGTAAATCTTATTATCATGGCTCATCACCACGCTGTCGCTATTCAAGCAATAAATCCTGTCTGTGGCTATGCTACATTACAGAACCTATCTATAAATAACTAATAATTATAATAACACGCTGTGCAGGCCTTTGTACCTCCCTTCGTAAAAACCCCTAACTCTTGTCTATAGGAAATTATGAACGTGCAGCTTTTCTGCTATAGTGCTATATGTACTTTATAAGGGTACACTTTTAATTAATTAAAAGAATATTGTTGGTAGTTTTGTTGRATGATCAAAAAAATCAGTCGTTTAGTTATTTAAGGAAACATTTTTTTAGGAAGTTTCGATCGGTTATTTTATTTCACTGCGAGTAAACATATTATAGAAATGTTGATCSAACGAATCTACTACATGTTCCGAATGAAACCATTGGACATGAGACACTTCCAGGAGGATACGATGTTAATGCGCCAACAGCGTCACCACGAAAAAAATTATAAAGAAGAATTCGAATGGCTGAAACTTAAAATGTTTGAAAAGGAGAGGCAAAATGAACGAGACAAACAATTCATAATTTACGGTAAATTTGGCATTGAATCGTAAACTTTCGGGGGTGAAGTGGGTGATATTTAAATCTCTAATCATAATTATGAAAACCGATGACAATTAATCGTTATATTTTTGAGGCTAGATATATTTTAAATAAATGTATATGTAACTTAGTATAACTTGATAGGTATGTTATCAATTTATCATATATTAACTAATTTTTTTGTGAACTTGTGTTGGGTGCTGGATACACCAAGAGTGCGATTTGATCGATTTTTAGGAGAAAGTTTAGACTTTATCTACTAGCTATGACCCACTCTATGTTCTGGTTAAAATTGGGGGAGGGCTAATAATAGGTACTCGATACTCATTTGATAATTTTACGTCATAAAAAAAATCACTAAAAACATTTTCCTCGCCATTTACAATAATACTATTATAGACTAAA